CCAGGGGCTTTGACTTTTAATTGCTGGTACCGCTTGAGTTGGCCAAGCTCGGCCAAGCTCGGCAACTTCACTGTGGTAACAATCAAATTCTGCGAAACTTGAGTTATATTGAAGTAAAAAACAATTATTACTGTTTTTATTATCTATACATATTATAAAATTCTGAGTCGAATCTGTACATTAAATATTTTTTGGAAAATCTTATTGAAATAGTCATTATTATCGATGCAGAGGCCGAATCTATAGTTTTTTTGTCTGTCTGTCTGTCAATAATATGCATAGATTATATTTAATTTCTATAACATGAATGTTTTTTATCTCAAAGTTTCCTCGTCCCAAAGCTTCAACTTTAATTCAAAGCTCAACTTTAATATCATCCATACACGAACTTTCCTTATAAAACATTCCATACATAATTTAATCGCAGAAAATAAAATTACATATAAAACAATAAAGATTGATATCTCTTAAATAATTCAATGAAAGAATAATCTGTTAGTGTCGAATGCAACGCCCCGCTGCTTTTCATACAATTATGACGGCATTTATATAAGACTAGCTGTTGCCTGCAGCGTTACGCACTTTAATAATCTATAATAATAAATTCAAATGCATTAATTACTAACATTGTATTAAAAGCAATACATATATGTATATAAAGACATATTTTTTTCTATATAAAGCAGCGTAAGAGGTACGTTTCAATAAATGCTACGTTACTTAATTAAGGAATGTTTCTTCCAAATTACAAATCATTATGGATATCAATTTTTATTTACTTACTAGCGACTCATCCACACTCCGCTCGGGTTCGTCCCTACTTATGTTTTGATGAGATATTTTTCCGCAGTAAAAAGTATCCTATATGTTGACCCGGATAACCAGCTATCATCATACCAAATTTCATCAAAATCCCTCCAGTGGTTTGTCCGTGATGCGGTAACAGACAGACAGATTCGACCTCTGTATCGATAATAATGTCTATTTCAATAAGATTTCCCCACAAAATATTTAATGTTTTCAGATTCGGCTTGATTACAATTTTATTATATGTATAGTTTTATTTTATCTTTCAATCTAATTATATAAGCTTTGTAGGTAAAGCTTTATTTCAAATAAAAGTCTCTACCGTAACCATGATTGCTGTAAAGCATTTGGAACGTCAGGAACCAAAAATCAAAATAAAACCGCGAAAAAAACCGAAAAGCCTAATTTTTTTTAATATTAAATATTCCTGTAAATCTAAGAATGTATTAAGCTTTCTTTCGATATCTCAAACGACATTACCATAAGCAAATGTATTGATTTTATTAAAAACCTATTTTAGTTATGACAATATGGAAGACGTTTGTCGTGTAATTGTATAAAGTGCATGTATATTTCTAAAGAGATAGCTAACTTTCCTCTAAACTAAATAAAAGAAGTTTTTTTTTAAACAATATAAATAACAAAATATAAAATAGACTCCATGTAGGTATTGTGCCCTCATAACGATACAAAGAATATACTGTGTGTCAAATTCATTAACAGATTTCAGATTTCTTTTTAAAATTTACATTGTGTTTTAAAGAAAAACAAATAAAACTTAACGGTAAAATTAAGTTATAAATGATTTGTCGATTTATCTTCTTCTCATTCAGCAACAAAGCAACGAATCGGTGGTTCTTTTTTCATAGAGAAACTATACGCTAAAGTGACATAAGCTACATTATATCGCGCCATATCCATGGTCTGACATTTTTTCTATTCACAAATTTGTCCATTATAAAAATGTTTCTAAAAAAGAAATCATTTAAATTTTCTATGTCAGGTCTCAGACATTCTAAACTCTACATTTGTTAGAACTTTGATTTCGACTTCAATTACCACATAAAGTGAAACCCATTAAGTATTTCTTAATTAAGATTAATTTTAAATTGAATAAAGCGTTCAAAATAAAAAGTTCAAATCTAAATGATATATTTAGTCGATTTCTTTTAATTAACTTCACATCGTGGATAATTGATGCTTTAATCAGGCAGCTCTAATTGTATCTCGTAAATAATTGGATAGATGAGACTGATGGTATTTTCGCCATGATGTATGGAAATTATTACTTTTAAGAAGGTTTTTTATTCAATTTATACGTTTTTATCTACTTTCATATAATGATGGTTTATATAATTTCTATACAGATAATTATGATTTAATCTATACCTACATATAATCAAATTGTAACTAAGCCGAATCTGTACATTAAATATTTTTGGAAAATCTTATTGAAATAGACATTAGTATCGATACAGAGGCCGAATCTATAGTTTTTAGAATTTTTGTCTGTCTGTCTGTTACCGCATCACAGAAAAACCACTGGACTGGTTTTCGATGAAATTTGGTATGATGATAGCACGCTATCCGGGTCAACATATAGGATACTTTTTACAGCGGGAAAATGACTCATTTATGAGAAAAAATACAAAAACTGCAATGTATACTAATATGTTAAAATTTAAAACCTAAGAATTTGCTTTTTATTTTTCAGATTTTATTCTCAAGAATCGTATATTAATTCAACTAATACATATATAAAATTTCACTTATTCTTGAAAGAAAGTGAACAATCTGTATGGCAAAATCGAGTAGTATATATAATACTCGTAGTAGCAAAAAGAGCAAATCCCATTACTATTTTTAATCGACTTCAAAAAAAAGAGGTTTTCAATTCGACACGTATATGATGATGTTCTCCTGACCGATTCCGGCCACGGCGGCCAATCTCATTGAGACTAGCCAACTGCGCAGGAGATATTATAGTGCACAAGTGTACGCGCAGACACAAGTGCACTCTCTATTCCTGTCACTCTCATACTCTGGTGGGACGACCACTCGACACGACCAGTGAGAGTTAAGGCGCAGGACCGACGGCTTTACGTGCTCTCCGAGGCACGGGGGTGAAACACCTCCAACTTCCCAACTCCGGGCTGTTACTGAGGCTTAATATACAGAAACACTCAATAACTAAACTTGGCCCGACCCGGGACTCGAACCCAGGACCTCCGGGTGTGCAGCCGTACATGCTAGCCACTACACCACCGAAGCACGTATATAATATGTACTTTTTTTTTATATACTTCAATTATAATCTATTAGGGCTTCCAATTTATTGTATGTATGTATATATGTTTGTCCATGTATTTCTCCGAACTAGTACTCGGATCGAGATCATTCATTGTTTTATTTACATATATTTATTTCAACTTATGGAATAGTAAAGACTTCATCAAAATTGGTTCAGTAGTTTTTATGATATGGACTAAATAAAACTGAAATAGTTTTTGTAATAAATAGTAATAACGTTTTTAGTATATACTTTTCTATTACTTGAAGTCAGTTTATTTTTTTTATTGGCATTGGCATTTATTTTGGTGAACTCTGTCTTTATCTTTAGTCTGAGTTGACATTACATCATAACGTCAAGTAATTGACTTTTATTTCTCACTCTCTAAGCGAACTATGCCCATATATAGACTATCACTATATGTACCAGTCTGTTAAATAAAAACTCCGAAATAAAAATGAATGATGAATAAATGTAAGTATTTAACTATTCTAAACAGAAATTACAAAAACCATTTTAAAACAAAAATATATATATTTTCATACCAATATTTATTTCAATACAGTCACGTGCAAAACTAAATAGATACATATAAATAAAAAGTGCGTTAAAATTTACAGTTTAAATGTATTCATTTGAAAGGTTGGTTGATTATTTAACGTTAGCGGCTTTTTGCGCGATATTTTATGCTAATTCGAATGAGTTAATGCTTCCAACATCAACGGTCATTGGTTTTCCATGGGTTTTCTAAATGGTATTGGCTCAGGGTGGTCGTCCACGAAATTATAGCTTTATGTAGCTTGCGATTTGCTTATATTCATTTTTAATATAGAGTCTGTTGTTTATTTTATTTATTAACTTAAATTATACGATAATATAAGTTTGGTTTTGGATTTGACTACACTGTATACTTAATTCTATTATTTTAATCGAGTTATATTATAACATTTTGTTTTATTGACCTTGCCCTAGAAGGATTATTTGCAGTATTATATATACGAAAGTTTATTTGTTAGTTTGTCTCCTCATTTGGTAGTTTTCGAAGGATGCTACTATGATACATTGCAAATATAATATATAATTTCATAGCGATAAATATATTGTGGTAAACATACCTAAGCAATATTGGAATATGGAGATATATTCAATATGGAAGTTTTTCTGAATTATTGAATGTTTGTATTTGTGAGTTTTCGTCTTAATTACCGCGCGGTACTCGCACTGCACGCTCTGTGACTTTGTGTTGCCTACTGTTGCAAGACTTGGTTTTTGTCATATAATGTTTTGATTTTTTACAATTATTACAATTTATAATTACCGTAATAAAGCTTTTTATAAGCTCGCTGGAACTTTTTTGAGATATCTTATGGTCATATAATGTTAGAGCTTTCATTAGGATTTGGGTCCCGACAACTTTTGATAACTATAAAATAAGTATGTTAATAAATTACATAACAGTTTTAAAAATGAAAATTACCAGTTGTATTCAAAGATAACTATCTCTTTTTGCTATGAATCAAATAAAAGCTTCTAAGATTCTAGATATATTTGTACTAGGTAGGTACTTACACTTAAGGTAAATAAAATAGAAATTTAAATACAAAAATATTTCCTTTCTTTTTTTTCTTTTTTTTACGAAAAAGACTAAGGTTTTAAAAAAACTTAGAATCTATTACTTCGTTTCAGATTATCCAAATCGGTTAAGCCGTTTCTGCGATTTGCGCGCACAAACGCACAGGCAAACAGACAAAAATTCTAAAAATCATTGTTTTGGGTTCTATTGCGCTAATAAAGACCACCAAAAATAGTTTTTCTCAAATATCATCCATGTACAGACAACGATCAGTTACAATTTTATTATATATATAAAAGATGGCTTTATTATTTATTTATAATTATATTAATGGTATATATGCAAATTCCAGGTCTAGAACGGGTGGCAGAGGAGTTGATGGGTCGCAGAAAATGGAAACAATACCAAGACGGTTTGATACATCACACAGAGGAGCAGTCGAGCGACGACGACAACATCGCTACTACCGACCCCCCGCCCGCGCTCAAGATCAAGACGATCGAGCAGATCAACGAAACGGAGAAAACGGAGAAACAGGAGATTCCGGAGAAACGAGAGACGATTCTGGAGAGTTTGATCAAGAGGCCAGCTACTCAGCCCAAGGTGGAAGTGCCAGAGGAACCGACGGACTGGAAGCCGGCGGACAGGTGTTATTTCTGCGTAGAGGGTGAGGGCGACCGAGTGGCGGCGGGCGGTGCGACGGTTAGTAACGCCTTTTTGGTTAAATCCTTTTTTGTGAATTCTAACACTTTTTAAACAGGAAATGCAGAGAAAAATTATAAGCTAATAATGCTGTTTTAATATAACAATATTGTTATTATTTGAATTAAATATTTACAAATAATGTTTACAATTGAAAATAAATTCTTAATTCGATGGAGCTAGGAAATTAGTAATTGTTTGAAAAGAAACATTAAGATAGGAGTATTGATTTTTTTAATAAAAATTTGAATCTCTAATGTATTCGTCATTCCTTTAAACATATCGACGAGAAACGTATTGAAAAAAAGATACTAATCATATACACTAGATATATTTAAAAAAAATAAAGCTTAATAAGAGAATTATAAAAAAATAATTAAAAATACTGACATCTAAATCTTTTTTAATTCAAACATTCTTTTTTATTTACAAAAACATATTAAAATCGATAGATATATCTATTTTAGTAGCTATGATACAGACAGACAGACACACAGACAGTCGGATACCAACGTTTTTCTCCATAAAAAAACATTCTCACCATCTATAAGAAAAGCTGCAATCTAAAACTAGTCATAGACAAAATAGAAAAAGTAAAAAACATTCATCCCAGTCAGGTGCATAAATTGCTGTATGCGAACCGGATTTAAAGTGATTACTCGCCAGATGTTCCTTACAAAGATCTACGGACATACACGCAATTATGTGTAGATATAGCGGGTTCAATACCCTATTATGTACGTTTTAATTATTATACAATAAACTACCTTTGCTCCCAGCTTTGCTTGCACATTGATAAATTATAGGGACGATTTACTTAAGATGTTTTTAATAATAAAAATTACAAAATATTGCAAAATATAAAGACAGGAAGTTTTTAAGGGAATGATAGCTACACTAGTATTTCTTGCAGATCTGCTCGCGTAATCTATGTTTGTATATCCATCCGTATATCCTAAACGTCGTAACAGGATTTTAAGTAGCAAATGCATAAAAGTTTTTTCAAATCCGAACGGTTGTACCAGATCTTGGTGTAAACAAACAAAAATAAACTCATACAGCTTTACTATATTAGAATAGATGATGTAAAATATTTAGTATTAGCTTTAGCTTGCAGTTTCACTCGTGTAACTTATTTAATACTAGCAGAACCTGCGGCTTCGCTCGCGCTAAAACTACAAAAAAATCTCTAAAAAAATAGGTTTCATACCAACTTTCATCCCCTATTTTACCTTTACAGTTCAATTTCGGGACTATATTTCTGAAATTATTTGTATGTAAAATTACTTAAAATTATATTAACTCTAAAAAAAGTTTCTTTTTCTCTTCCTAATTTTTAACCACATCAAAAATATTGATTTTTTAGCTTTTTGTAAATATATGAATGACACTTAGATCAAATTCAGGTAAAGATTTTAAATCTTATAAAAATCTATACAGTTAAATAAAATTGAAGTGTCTGTTTTTAATATTAAAATACCTGCTTTTTACTAAACACATAATATGGATGTGTACACGGCACATCTACCAAAACAACATTTTTAACACTTTTGTCTGTGTGTCTGTCTATTTGTTCCGGCTAATCTCCGAAACGGCTGGACTGATTTTGACGGGACTTTCACTGGAAGATAGCTGATGTTATAGGGAGTAACATAGGCTACTTTATTTTAGAAAAAGAATTAGGGTTCCGATCAAATAAATTAAAATGTACCTAGAAAAATATATAATATTTCATACAACCTAAATAATAATTTCAATGCCATATCACTCAAGAATTTTTTTCTAACCAATAAAATTCTTCATACACTCGTCCTAAGTGTAGATACTTGACTATTTGTTTCTAACATATTTAGCATTAATTCTGCAGGTGCAGTAGTATTATGCGATGAGTCAAAAATCCTTGGCCTTTACATCAGGTTTTGTTATATCATTGTGGATATTCTATAGAATAACGCTAAAGCTATGCGTTCATCAATTTTGCTTAGTACTTATCGGAAATAGGTATAATACTCTCATAGTTAAATCAAAATAATTACGTCTTTAAATGTATATTTTCTATATATTTTTAAATTGCGTTAGTAATGTTTTGTTACAAATTGAATAGAACTTACAGCTATATTGTGAAACGGATTTCCAAATATATTACAAACTAGCGACTCACCCTCGCTGCGCTCAGATTCGTACATAGGTACGTTTTGACGCTTAGTATGGAATAGATTTTTTTTTTCAATTTTTTTCGTGAAATTTTTCAATGTTTAATTAAAGATGAAGTTGATTTTTAAATATTAAACTTATTGCAAGTACTTCTTTTAAGAAATCATTCAAAATTAGTTTAAATCTTTACACTTGATTAGTATTTTTCTTAAGAAAATGAGGGTACCTTCAGGGAACAAATTATTCAGTTGTTTTTTTTGTGTGGATGTGTTATGTTATATGATATCTTTACAGTTTTAGTAATACTTTTTTTAATGAATATATTATACCTTAAAAGTATCCATCTGTAAACATATTATATTTAAATTATATTTAATGACTTTGAAGTCGGTATACCTTTTAAGTTCAATAGCAATAATTTAATTGACCTTCTTACCAGTCAATCTCCATCATCCATGGTTTCTTCTCCATTCCACATTGAAATGGTGGAGTTGATTGTCTTCAAGGGACATTCCTAAAAACAAAGAAGAAAAGAAGAAAATTGAATTTAATTAAAACTTTACCTACCTACATTTTTTTCGATAATAATCCTATATCGATAATAATGACAATTTCTAAAGATTTCCGAAAAATATTTAATGTACAGATTCGACTGAGTTAGAATTTTATTATATGTACCTATAGATAAAAAGTAAAAACATTTATTTAACCACAAATGGAGTAATATTATATTTCCTATAAAATATTTCTAAATTTTCTAAATACTCCAATAAATAAATAAAAATGATAAACGAATAATTTTTCCATTGTTCAAAAAAATAAACATAATAACATGATAATTATTGAAATTTTATATATCTGATTATACGTAATATCTACTTATAATAGAATAATAATAATAATATAAAATGATAAACTAAGGACTATTATTCCAGTTGCATTTTAAAATAAAACGTAATGTAATAACTTTAATAATAGAAGCTCTATGTCGTAAATTCTCACGCAAACGAATTATTTTCTTCAAGAACGACGGCGTATGATTGATTGTACCGCTATGAAAGTAATTGTGGACTTTTCATGTACGGTTCAATTTTTAGGCTTCCGTGCCCAAAGGGTGCCAATGGAACCCTATTACTATGCCTCCGCTGTCCGTCCGTCTGTCTATCAGAGGGTTTGTAACTCATGAACCGTGATAGGTAGAGAGTTGAAATTTTCACAGAGTATGTATTTCTATTGTCACTATATCATACTAATAAAAAGTACATGTGCGATGGTACGGAACCCTTTGTGTGCGAATTCTACTCGCACTTGACCGATTTTTTTGTTTACCTCATAGAGCAAATTAGGTGAAATATTTTAACAAAATGTTTTACTTATGAATATTATATTATTTTACATTAATTTAAATGTTAGTTAACAATAATATTGTGTTATAATAATGTATTTTAAATAAAACTATTTTTTCGGATTTTATCGAAAAAAAAAACGAAAAATAAGATATTTTTTTAATATAAAATATTCGCGTAAATCCAAAAAACTATTATAGTGATATATCTAAGTATTTATTATTTTATGCGTAGTATGTATCAAATAAAAATAATTAATAAAGTATTACATTATAAAAAATATGCCAGTTAAAGTAAAACATTTAATTATATTTGTTTAATATAAGTAAATAATAAATACTATAGGTACTTATATAATTATGGTCCCGAAAAAATGTGGTAAAACGAAAAAAATATAATTATTAAAGTCACGCATTTAATTTTTACATGGCACATAAACCGAATTAATTTAAAATTTAAGAGCCAACAAACATTCACATTTATAGATATATAGAAATGACATACAAAAATTTTACTTCTAACTATGAAGAGTTGTACACCTTAGGTTTCGACCTTCCGCAGGGGTGTTGTAGTGAATGCGCAAGCGATCCTGCAACGCCTAGGGATGCTCATGTATAAAAAATATCGATATTTTTTCGATACGATATATCGAATTGTTCCATCGATGTAACCCCGATTTATCGCTCAAAAACATCGATACTTTCTGTATATCGAATGTTATTTATATTTTATTAAATAAAAGGAGTAAACAGACTTTATCGTGAAGAAATAAGAAAAATATCAAGGTTAAGAAAATAACCAACTTTATTTTTATAATTCCCAGTATTTCTTATCTAAACCTTGAAGAAACAAAATTTTATTGACTATTTTAGTTTGCAATCTTCTTTGCTTTATTAATACCTGCGCGAATTTTATGATACGATATTCATAAAATATATCGATAATATGTATCTATTTCTGATATTTCGATAATATCGGATTGATTTGATATATAAAATGTAAATATCTATATTTTAAAATATGGTTTTATATCGAGCACTCCTAGCAACGTCCCATTGCACTGCGGCGACGGCTTCCGCTGTGGGTTTTCATGAGTAAGAGTCTTACAGTACCCTGCCTTTTAAAAAAAGGAGTTGTCCATCTTCATCATCAGATCAAGTTGATATCCAAATATTTTTATCCAAATTTCACAAAACAAAGTGTAAATCCATAGTACAATGAGAAGTAGGAAAAACCACTCCTAATATTAATTACATACTCGTACTTAGTAATAGTAAAGCCCATAAAAGCTAATAAGTTCGTGTTTATAATCAATAGTCGATATTTAAATATTAACATATAGAAAAACAGATATTTTATAATATAACTAAATTTTACCTATAAGTATAGATATGATAAAAAAACAAGTATATGTGTATGCAATACACTCACGGTAAAAGTGAAACTTCAGAAAAGTAGCCTACGAGAGAATGAGATGAACATATTATATAGAGTATCAGG